TGTGTGTGTGTGTGTGTGTGTGTGTGTGTGTGTGTGTGTGTGTGTGTGTGTGTGTGTGTGTGTGTGTGTGTGAGAGTGATAAGTCCTTTTGGCAGTCTGATTTACCCTATGGAACATAATTAAAAAAAAGTTTTAAAATAATTGAAGGAAATGCTCCATTTCAATTAGAGGTTAATTAAAAGAAGACTTTTTTTTTTCCCATGGAAGTTTATTATTTTACCAAGAATATGAGGAGAGAGAGGCTTCCCAGCAGCTCTTCTCTAAAGGGAGTCTATTCCCTACTAATTTATTTTTTGAAAGTTGACTAAATACTGGGCAAGTTTTAGAAAACTTCTATTTCTTTGCCTGTCTTGTCTATCCCAGTGTTTAATTATTACCAAACTGTTTTGGTGACAGCTACTTTATAATATAATTTTAGTCTAAATTTTAGGTCTGAATCTCCCTTTTCTTTGTATATGTTTTCATTATTTCCCTTGAGATTACAGATCCTTTGTTCCTCAAATGAATTTTATTATTGTTTTGGCTAGCTTTATAAAATATCCTCTTGGTGATTTGATGGCATTGCATTAAATTTATACATTCCTGTACTTAGCCCAGTAACTGGCACATAATGAATGCTTACTAAATGCTTCTTGTTGGCTGATTAAATTAATATAATATGATCATTTTTATTATATTGACCTGGCCCAATCACACACAGTAAATGTCTCTATCATTATCTAAGTGTTTCTTTATTTCATAAAGTGTTTTGCAGTTTTATTTATCTAAATCATGCATGTGTCTTTGTAAGTTAACTTGGTGATATTTTATGAACTTCATAGTTACTTAAATATAATTTCTCTTATTGTTTCTTCCAGGTTTTTATTAATACAGTATTGAAATCCTGATGATTTTTGTGTATTTTATAATCTACACTTTATCTAAATTATTATTTTAATTTGTTCCTTGCTGATTCTCTAGAGTGTTCTAAGAATACTATCATGTCATCTGGAAATAAGGATAATTTTTAACTTTGATGCTTATACCATTAACTTTGTTCTTGTTTGCATTTTGTTCTCTTTAATAAGCATTTCTAGAACTATGTCAAGGAATAGTGAGGAGGTAGGGCATCCTTGCTTTACCCCTATTTTTACTGAGAAACTTTCTAGTGTTTCTCCTTTGCAAAAAATACTAGCTCTTAGTTTTAGATATATGCTTTTGATCATATTAAAAAATAGCACTTCCCTGCCTATGCTAATTTTCGTTTTTAACATAAAATTGTCCTCTATTTTATTAAAACTTTTTTTTGCATCTATTGAAAAATAATATGATTTTCTAATTTTTTCATAAAGACAAATGGGTCTTGCATCTGTGATATGAATCCAACTTGTTCATAGTGAATTATTTTCTGGGTATATTATTGTTGTAGACTCTTACGAGAATTTTGTTTTTTTTTCATCAATATTCACCATTTAAATTGATCTACAGTTCTCTTTGCTTTATTTATCTCTGGTATGGGGATTAGGATCATAATTGTGTTATAAAAGGAGTTTGATAGAGTGTTCTCTTGCTCTCTCTTTTTAGTGTAGGTATTAAATACTCTTGAACGATTCTATCAATAAGTGAAGTTGATCAATCTGACCTAGGCTTTTTTTCCTTTAGCATTTCAATTACGGCTTGCTCAATTTCTTTCTCTGAGATTGGATTTTTTAAGATATCTATTTCTTTTTTGTTAATTTTGGTATGTTATATATTTTAAAATTCTTATTTTATTTTTAATTTATAGAATAAAATAAGCATTTCCGTAACAGTATAACGAAAAGATAATTTCATATGAAATTGCAAATCTGTTATGTACAACCTGCTGTTCCTTTTAAATATGTAAGAAAGTTACAATATAAATTTCTTTTTTCTTTTCTCCTTTTCTTTTCTTCCCTCCCTCCTATCCTGCAGTAGAGATAGTTATTGTTAGATACAAATAGATAAATATATAAAAATTATTCTATAAACTCATTCATTCCCTTTGAATTTTCAATTTTACTGGCATACAGTTATATATGGTAGTTTCTGATAATTCTCTTTCCCCTCTGTTCATTTTTTATGTCAATAATTTGATTTTCTTGATCAGGTTAACTAATGGTTTATTGATTTTTTTTTTAAATCCTTTAACAAAAACCTAGCTCTTAGTTTTGTCAGTTCTATTGTCTTTTTGTTTTCAAGTTTTTCTTTATTCAATTTTTTAAAAAAAGTCAAATTTTTTCTTTTATTCTTTCAGTTAGACTGTGAGGAAACCAGATTTGAACTTGCAGAGGTGCAGCCCAGATAGGGGCCAGCCATCTCCTTCATTTCCCCACCTCCTTAGAATTAATCCCCAAAGCTCTCCCAATTGAGGTTCTCCAGATTGAAGGTCAAGATTTGCCTCCACCATTCTCTTGAAGATCTCTTCCCTTTCACCCCCAACCTGTTACTGATTTATTTATTTTGGGAAAAAAAGTCTCAAAACTAGTTTGCCAGTCTTTCTTAATATGGGGGTTCTAGTGGAGCTCTCCTCCACTTTCGGACATACCCTCATCCCACAGAACTTCCGTGGCCTCAGCTAATCAGTTTGAGGTGGTTCAAAGACAGCCACTTGCCCATTGAACGAAGATGGCTAGAGGCCTATTCTGGGAATTTAAACATCCTCCCTTTTCTTTTCCCAGGGCTTGCTTCCCGCCGTGTCTACAGTCTCTCCCTCTACAGTCAAAATTGGAAGTTCCCTCAGAATCTCATCTTGTGCCTTGTCTTCCCTGTCTGGGTGGAGATGGTGGTTGGACCTTGCTGAGTGTAGGGGTGGGAGAGGGTCCCTGCTGGTGAGTGTATCAGGTATAGCAATAATGGGGAGTTAGTTATTTGCTCCTTGGCTGGGACTTTTAGTGGTGGAATTGGGTCTCTTCTCTTCCAATAGCTCTTTATGGGAATGGAAGTGGAACCTCTCTCCTTCCTGCCCCTTGCTCATCAATGTTTCCTCCCCTCTTCTCCTTCTTCCTATTGTTTCTCTTCCACAAGTTCCTTGAGTTAACTTTTCTTGTAGTTATCTTTTCCCTTTCTAGCTCAGATAAAACTGCAGTACCTAATCTTGACCATTTTCTCCCTTTCCCCATTCATTCTTTTCATTTCAGTGAGATTAATTTGAAATATCACTTTCCAAGAAACGTTTTCATTCCACACACTTTCTAACTCCTTTCTTTCTTTCATTTTTTGAGGGAAGCCATGGGTACCAGTGGGGATTGCTTTTATAACTCAAGTGTGGGGAGAGGGCTGTTCCCCTTTTGATTTCATGCTGTAGCCTCCCTTTGAACCTGTGATCCCATGTTTAGCCCTCTTCAGACTATTTCCCCACTGTCTTTAGGTCCTAGTTATTTTTTTTTCCACTGGGAAGTAGTGCCAAGATGGATGTACCTAAGCTTGAGGAAACTATTCCTTAAGTTCTCCTTCCAGTAGATTTTGAAGCCAACATCCTGTCTCTAGCAAGTTCCCCCTCCCCTGCTCTGGGTCATTTGGAGAGATAATGTCGTAACATTCCCTGTCTGTTTATGAGACCCAACTCCCACTTTGGAAACAATTTGGTATGGTGCACAGAGCACTGATTGGAGTTAGACAACCTGATTCAAATCACAGCTGTGTTTACTACCTGTGTGACCTTGAGCAAAGCACTTGCCCGCCCTGGGCCTCAGTTTCTTAGTCTGTAAAATGAGGTGGTTGTACTAGATATGGAGGCTTTTATGAGGTCCCTTCAAGCCCAATTTTTGATCTCATGATCCTCCCCCTGTTATCTGCCTCCCATATTTCATCATTATTTTCCCTCTATTCTAAAGGCAAGAGGAGAAATTGAAGTATTCTGATTTATATTTTCTCATGGATCCCGACCAGACTTTTCCTAATCCTCATCCCATTCCATGTTCTCTTCTCTCTACCTAAGGGGAGTCTTTTTTTTTTATCATCCCTCACCCCAAATAATCCTGACTTAATAAGGGAATGATTTTTTTTTGTCAGTGAAATATTAGTTCGCTTCTCCTATTTTTCTCTTGATTTTTTCTTCTTACAACTTTTGCATCTTAGATTCTTTAACCCAGTGATATTGTCTTTGCCTTCTTACATGTCTTTCAATATGAGGTTTTTTTTTTTTAAAAGAGAATCAAAAAAGAAATTGATTTTCCCAGTCATCCTGCACAGTATTATTTCTGGGTTTTAGCTACATGAAAACAAACGTTTCATTTCTTAGTCTTTAATTTCTACCCAAAAAAAGCATTTAACTTTTTTTATGTTTGGTCAGTTTTCATCTCTGTATTCTTTTGAAGGAATGATTCAAATTCTTCCTTTTCACTAAATATTCATTTTCTTTGGTGCTTAGTATCAACTTTGTAGGGTTTCATTTTGAGCCTCATCTGATTTTCTTTACTTGCCAGAATGCCATATTCTGATTTTTTTCTTTTTATGTTTTTTTTTAAAGCAAGAGTAATCTTGTGTTTTCTAATTGATTGATTGTTCTAGGAATGTGAAATGTTTTTCCAAATAAATCAGTGTTACTTTTAGGGTTTGTAGGAAGAAATGGAAAGTGGGAATTGCTAATATTCTCTTAATTCATTTAGAGGGCAGCTGCCATTAAATATGGCAGTTTATGAATTATTTTGTGATAAACTAACCACTACATCCAAGGAGGAAAGAAATAGTCCATGGGCATTGAACTTAGAAATCCTAGTGAGGTCTTTTGAAGGCAATTTCTTCTAGAAGTCTTGGGAAAGAGTAGAGATGACATGGGATGTGACCTATCTAGAACTAGTTCTCCACCAGTTTTTTGAGCAGTGCTTAGGTCTTTGGTTTTAGATCAGTTAGTAGGAAAGATAAAAATGGTGACAAATTTCGAAAATGTTAGTGGGGAATTGGATGGTCATTCCTGGAGTTCTCAGCATGATTGCAGCACCACGGAGGGCTTTGTGCCAGCTATTGGTGCAACCCAGAGGCTTCAGGACTCGGATAGTAGATGGCTCAGGGAAATGATCAGCGCCTGTGTTAGTCCTGGATGTCGGCAATGCCAAGGGCTAGCAGGGGTGGGCAGTAGGGTATAGGTTCTTGGTGTTATCCCTAGATTTCAACTCCTTTAGGTAGCTCACATATTTTATCTTTCTATGCAAGAAGATCTCATCTCTGACTCACATTAAGGATGCTTGAATTTTCTAGTTTCCAGAGATTCTAGGGCAGACAGTAGGACTATAAACCTTATTTTTGCTTAGGATACAGAAATCTGTTATCTATTACAAATTGCATAGGTAAGTGGGAAAGGAGAGTACCCGCAAGTGATTTCTTGTCTTTCACTAGTTTGACCAATGCAGAGGGGAATAATAGTCTTAAGGCGTGTTCTTTTGAAAGCGTGATAGAACCTTTATTTGGAGTAGTTGACACTTTTCCCTTGATGTGTTTCTGGCAAGCAATATCAGTTCATTTACTAGGAAAGCATTTTTAGTTTTAAAAGCCCTAAATAACAGATATATCCTTTTTATGAACAGAGATATTGAACTACAGACACCATATATTGTGGACTATGACAATGGTCAGAGTTTTGTTGGGCCTACCTTGTGGCCAGATTTATATACTGGATGTAATTGGCTACAGGATGGGGGCAGGCATGCCAGAGGCTACAGGGTGTCAATTTGTCTTCAGTTGTTTTTTCTGTAAGAATTTCCTTAGTGATGCCTTCTGATGTTTGTTTTCCTTTTCTTGACGTTGTGTTATCTGCTGAATTGAGGGGTGGTTTTCTTGTTCATTTGGTGTAGTAGGGCTAGGTTACTTCTCAGTCTGTCATCTTTCCTTTTTTATATCCTTTTGTGTCCAAAACTTCTTCCTCCCTTCTAGTCACCCATTCTGAAAGGAATAGTCAGGGAGATGAACCTCTAGGCTTTAAAGAGGTCATTTCAATCTCACATCCCTTTTTAGGGGCTGGGGTTCTCATTTATTTCCTTTACCTTTTTCCTCTTCCTTCCAAATTTAAATAGACCTTGGTATGGACACCAAGTCATGTGAACAGGAATCCCATGTTGAAATGTGACTAATATTTTTAAAGCCTGTTAAGTTTAAGAAGATTGGGAGAAGACTTGGAGCATTATTGCAATAGGTAGCAACTATGATACAGGTGAATATTGGCAGTTGGGTGGGAGGGAGCAGAGGGGAAGGCTCTTAGTTGCTCTCAGAACTCTATTGCTTATACTAGTTACTACATTGAACACAAGAATAGAGATCAGAGACCTTAAAGGACATTTGCCTGGAACACCACTTAACATAACAGGCCTGAGAATTGTTTGAGCCAGTGGGTGGCTTAGCTATGTCTGTAATGTTAGTTTTATTGAGCACCATATAAGGAATGTGCCCAGCTCTTTTTTGGCATCTGCTTTGCAAACTGAAACTGTTGATAGTAAGAAAAACTTAAATTTGTTGACCAGACTTGTCCCATGTGATAGTCTGCAGTGCTTAGTGACAAGTAATTTTTTTTCTTAACTACTTTGGCTTTCCAGAAAATAGCAAATAATGTGTTATTGGTAACTAATATACTTAGGCTATGGTTTTTACCTGCTTCACAAATATACATATATATGCACACACACATACACACACACACACACACACACACACACACACACACACACACACAGTGTGGTATTGTGGATAGAAAGCTGGTTTCTAAGCCAGAAGAGCTGGGTTCCAGTGCTGCCTTTGACACGGAGTGGTTGTGTGACCCTGGACAAGTCACTTAATTTCTCAGTGTTCTACATTACTCTTTTAGTAAGTTGCAGAGAAGATGAAGAAGCCCTGTATTAGTAGAAGGAGTTTGCTTATCTAAGAGTTTTCTCTGTCAGTGAAATCTCTGTCTCTCATCTCTGTGTTTTCAAAAATTACTAATAGGAAGTAGGAAAAGGGGTGTGACCTACCCAGATTCTTGAAGTCATGGATGGTTATTTCTGAGGAATAAAAGAAAGCTCTTTAACTTAGAAGTGTGTTGTATTGGTTGAGTTTTTTTGGTTGTGGGTTGTGTGGTTTTTTTCCCCCTTTTTGCAAGGTAGGGGACGGTAATCTTGAAAATCAGGGATGAATTGCCAGGATATTAAGACTATACTTCTTAATTTGAAATTGATGATTTTAAACAAGTCCCTGAACTTTATGGTCTCAAGAGCTTGTTCAAAGCCAAAACATTTCATGCAAATGGTATGTTACATTTCAAGTACCCACTGACAGTGGATTTTTTTGTAATTAAATCATTAAGGGTGATTGTTTGCTGGTATTTATAGCAGCTTCCTGGAAACTTGAATTATTTTTCTTACTGCTGTTTTTTCCCCTCTATTGCTTTGCTTTCCACTTTATAGCTATTTAAATGCTAAGCTGTCTATCAGTTTATCTTTATTAATGTTTATGTTTAAAAAGCATTAAGAAATATAAAGTGTTCTTGCCAGATCTATTGTCAGTATCAGAGGGAAATAATTATTGCTTTGGAAAAGGAAGTTAAAGACTTTTCTTGTATTTTGAATAGAACTTAAAAAACAAATACAGTAGCATCTCACTGATGTAGAGGTCACTTGTCTGGTACCCTCAGCTATCCTCTATCCTGAGCACAGCTGAGCACCAGAAAACAAAAAAGGCTTCCAAGTACTCAAAGCAGAGGTCAAAAGATCCATACAGTACCAAAATTTGAGCATATAATGGAACCCCTTAGATCCTCACTCAGTTTCTGTTAACTATTACTTTATACTTAGTTCTAACAAATAGGGTTATTCAGTTTATGCTGGTGTGAAAGGAGGTAAGGTAATGTAGACATGTTGAGAGC